GTTATGAAAGATAACCTCTTGACATTGTATGATTCTAATCAGAAGTTGATTATGAAGTCTGAGAAGGGAAGCAACATAACATTCAAGGTGAATGTAGAAACAGCTGAAGCAGAGTGTCTTAGTGCAGAAGGTACTGAAGGTGACAGTAAGCTGTGGCACAAGAGGTTGGGGCACTTGAACTATAGAAGCTTAGGACATATAAGTTCTAAAGAGCTTGTACATGGTATTTTGAAGATTGTGAAGCCTCAGAAGTCATGTGAGATATGCATGAAAGGCAAGCAACCCAGATTGCCATTTGCATTAGAAGTAGCCCCCAGAGCAAAGCATGCTTTGGGAGTAGTACATTATGATGTGTGTGGACCATTTCCAGTATCTTCACTTGGAGGAAATAAATATTTTATGGATGAGTTCACAAGAATGACATGGATAACACTCATTAAGTTCAAATATGAAGTGTTTACTGAGTTCCAGAAGTTCAAGGTGAAGGCTGAGAAGCAGAGTGGTCAGAAGCTGAAGATTCTGAGAACGAATGGTGGAGGTGAGTATAACTCTACAGAGTTCCAGAAGTTCTGTGAGGAGAATGGAATAGAAAACGAGGTTACTGCTCCATATACTCCTCAGCATAATGGTCTTGCTGAAAGAAGAAACATAACTTTGCTTGATATGACCAGAAGTATGCTGAAAGAGAAGAAGCTATCTCACATGTTATGGGGAGAAGCTGTTGCCACATCAGCACATGTTCTGAATAGGTGTCCAACGAAAAAGCTGAAGGAAATTGTTCCTTTAGAAAAATGGACTGGAGACAAGAAAAGTGTTAGCCATCTGAGGGTGTTTGGTTCTGTATGTTACAAACACGTTCCAGAAGCTAGAAGACGGAAACTGGATAATAAAAGCAAAGTAATGTTACTGATGGGTTACCACAGTACATGTGCCTATAAGCTTTATTGTCCAAAAACCAACAAAGTTGAAATCAACAGAGACGTTATTGTGAAAGAGTCAGAAACATGGGTCTGGAATAAGCTTCAATCAGATTCTGGTGTAGCGCCAACACCAGAGTTAGTTTCTGAAGATTCTTCAGAAAGTTATGAAGACGAGTCAGAGTTAGAAGATGAATTTGAAGACTCTGAAGATGAGTCAGAATCTCAGGGAGATTCTAATAGTGGATCTGATTCTGATCCAAATTCTGATGATGATCCAGAATCTGGTGGTGATTATATTTCTAGAAGGGAAAACTCTGAAGACATAACGTCTGGAGGACAAGCTTCCAGAAGTAACTCTGAAGGTGGTAATTCTGAAGGTGGTAATTCTGAGGGAAGTAGTTCTGGACAAGGTCCAGAAGCTAGCATTGTTCTGAGTTCTGGAGAAGCTTCAGAACAAGTTCAGAGGCCACAGAGAATCAGACAAATACCAAGTAGGTTTGCAGATTTTAGCATGTTGCATGATACTGAAGTAAATTCTGAAGGAGAAGTCATTCAGTGTGCCATGTTGGTAGATTCTAAACCAATGGATATTGAAGAAGCTCTCAATAAAAAAGTATGGTTGAATTCCATGAAGGAAGAACTTGAGGCTATTGAAAGAAACAAAACTTGGAAGCTGACGAAGCTTCCAGAAAAGAAGAAAGCCATCAACGTCAGATGGGTTTTCAAGGTGAAGCTTAAGGCAGATGGATCAATTGGCAAACAGAAAGTGAGACTAGTGGCTAGAGGTTTTCTTCAGAAACATGGACTAGATTGTTTTGAGGTGTTTGTGCCTGTATCTAAACACGAAACGATTAGACTGGTGATTGCTTTAGCTGTAAACAGAAATTGGCCTTTGATACATCAGGATGTGAAGTCTGCATTTCTGAATAGTCCGTTACAAGAAGAGGTATATGTGTTATAACCTCCTGGATTTGTGAAAAATAATCGGGAATGGATGGTATACAAGTTACATAAAGCCTTGTATGGACTGAAACAAGCGCCCAGAGCTTGGAATCTTAAAATTGATTCGTTTTTCAAGAGGCAGAAGTTTCAGAAATGTGAGATAGAATATGGCGTATATGTGCAACATTCTGGTGGCAATATGATTCTGGTGTGTCTATATGTTGATGACATATTATTAACAGGAAGTTGTCCAGAAGGTATAATCAAGTTCAAAGAAGTTCTGATGAATGAATTTGAGATGACAGATTTGGGAAATATGGTATATTTTCTAGGAATGGATATTATGTACTCAAAGAAGGGTATCATTCTACATCAGCTGAAGTATGAACTTGAACTTTTAAAGAGATCTAAGCTGCAAAATTGCAAAGTTGTTGTGACACCATCAGAAACCAATCATAAATTGGATTCTGATTCTGATGGTGATTCTGTGGATGCTACAACCTTCAAGCAGTTGGTTGGTTCTCTTAGGTACTTGTGCAATACCAGACCTGACATTTGTTATGCAGTTGGAATGGTTAGCAGATTCATGAGTAAACCAAAGTGGTCTTATTACCAAGCTGCTGTCAGGATTATGAGGTATATCAAAGGAACTCTGAAATATGGAGTGCTATTTCCTTCTGGAAGAAAGACATAACTAGAATTAGTGAGTTATTCTGATTCTGACTGGTGTGGAGACAGAGTTGACAGAAGAAGTACTTCTGGTTACTTGTTCAAGTTTTTGGGAGGTCCAATTTCTTGGAGTTTCAAGAAACTGTCTGTTATGGCTCTATCAACGTGTGAAGCTGGATACATTGCAGGTGTTGTAGCTGCATGTCAAGCTGTTTGGCTTCTGAATCTTCTGGAGGATTTGAAGATTGAGATAGAGAAACCTCTGAAGCTGTTAATTGATAACAAGTCTGCAATCAATCTTTCCAAGAATCCAGTGCTGCATAGAAGAAGCAAACATATCGAGACGAAGTATCATTTTCTGAGAAGTCAAGTGCAGAAGGGAGTGTTAGAAGTTCTGCACTATAGCACTCAGAAGCAGCTGACAAATATTCTGACGAAGGCAATAAAAACAGACCAATTTTTTCATTTGAGAAATGAAATTGGTGTTGTTAGTTTTTGATAGTTACTAAATTACGGGATGGTATTAGAGAGTAATTTAGTATTTGTCATTTTTGGATATTCTCTTTTAAGGCCAATGTGGCATTCTTATCTTTACTATTTTTGTGTATAAATAGGTGTACTGGATTTCATTTAATACAATCAATCATCTTTCAATCATTAGTGGCAACTTTATAACATTTATCATTTTCTCTCTTCTTCCTCAATTTCATCACCTTGCACCAATATATATATATATATATATATATATATATATATATATATATATATATATATATATATATATATATATATATATATATATATATATATATATATATATATATATATATATATATATATATATATATATATATATATATATATATATATATATATATATATATATATATATCAAACTAAAATATTAACTAACTCAAAATCACTAAAAAGATATGTAATTGTCCTATTCTAATTTAATTAGGAGTTCTACATTCAAATTCAACCCTAAAAATACATATTAATTCATGTTAAAAATAATAATAACAAACTAATACTCTACTTTATGACTATACACAAACATATAAAAATAAATGTAGTACAAATATAACATGTATTATATAATATCTTCATTTGTTTAAAAATATTAGTACATTATATTTTAATATATTAGTTTTAAAGAAACTATAAATTTATATTAAATTAATAATTACACGAAAAAAAGTTATATCAATACTTGTTTATATAATATTATACATTTAAACTCTTAGAATTTTCAGCATTCACATTTATAGTTTTTAACTTTTATTCAAATTAATTTCTGCATATTTTCATATCATCTAAACTAGAAAATACTTGAGTAATCTAATACTTTAGTGTGATAATTACTACAATCTTATTTATTCGAAAACTCTTGTTGTATTACATCTTATTTTTTTAAGGATTGTTGGAATTAAGATTGTGTGAAGTGTATTCCTTATTTTCGGGATTGTTTGAAACAAGAGAGTAGGAATTAAAATATTGTTATCTTGTTCTACTTGTTTGGTTGTTCATTACTGTACAAGATTATTGGAAGCAAGAGAGTTGAGTTTGAGAGGATTGTTCTCATTTCAATGATCCAATAGGATTGTTCTTGGTGGTTTTGTTGTTAAAAGATTGTAGGAGAAGTCTTGGTGTGAGACTTGTACAAAGATCTAACAATAGTGAAATCTCTTTCATGTTGAAAGGGGACTAGATGTATCTTTGGACTGTGAAGGGAACTTGGATACATCCTTGTGTTCTTTATTTTTCTGCACTTTATTGCTTTCAAACACTTAACACCAAACCAGAAAAATAAGAACAACTTAAGTCAAAAATCGAATAATTTTTAAAATTCTAATTCACCTCCCCCTCTTAGATGTACTATAAACTTACAATATCAAGCATCATGCAATCATCAATCCTTTTTTTAAATTGGTTACATTTGCGAGTACTAGTTGGCAAGCTCCGCCTCTGTTTTCATTTAATCTCATTATGTCATTAAAATCACTGCTAACATCCAAGCCTCAGTCATATTCCTTGCAATATTATTCAAATCATTCCATATTACTCGCTTATTCTCCTCATTAGAGCTAACATAGATTGTCGTGAAGTACCAATTAATGCCCCTAGTATACTTAACTTTAAGGTGTAGAAACTGAAACTTTGTAACAGTAGTTTGCACATGCATAAAATCTATTCTCCAACCTACATAAATACCACCCATAAAACCATCAATGTTTGAAGTTATAAAACCATCATACCCTACTAAATTGAAAGTTTTCTTCAATCTATCATGGTGACACCTTGTTTTAAGAATCATTAGCATGACATGGTTCCAAGTTACTACATACTGCTTGCAATAACGAAAGAATCCACCACTCGCAGTCCCACGACAATTCCAAACCATAATCGTCTTTTGTAAAATCATTAAAAAGTACTGAGTTTAAAATTGTTCATTCCATTAAACCATCATTAGTTTCCCAGTGGAGTTTCTGTCACAACTTCCTTTTGTTCTAGAGCTTCACTAATGTCCTCAACTTTCACACTTGTTGGTTCCCCATTTAGATTGATAAACTTATCATTACTAGTGGGCATACCCTGCAAGTCCAGAGGTTCTATCTCCTTTGGGTCAATTACAACGTGAAATCCCATGGTCAAACCACCATCCTTAATAACACAGTCACCCATGTCTTGTTGTTTCTGCACAGAACCTTCCAAGTCTCCAGGGTGTTTGAAATGATGTTTAGATAAGCTTGCAAGTTTGTTTTCTTCCACAATATTCTTCCCAATATTTTTACTCGTAAATTTCCTTTGAAATTTCCAGTGGCACGTACTCCTAGTTTTGAGTTCTCCATATTCTTTTCCTGATTAGCTGCATGGTTTTTACTATTAATTTGTTTGTTCTATATCCTCTGATTTTGTTCAACATCAGTTCCTGTCGCTCCACTACTGCTTGCCCCATTGACTTTCTGATAATATTCTCCAACAAACTATGCATTCCCTATGATTTCCTCATCATGTTGCTTCTGTGTGCCCTGACCCACACCTTTTTGCATTAAATGCCTTGGAATATATTCTTGACTCTTTCCACCCACTATTTGTCTCTCCTTTAACATGTTATTATCATTTAACGTCACATTATTTCCTCCTTCCTTTTCAGTATTTGTAACCATATTATCCATGATTACCCCATTTTATGCCGCAAATCGAGATCCCGATTTACCGCCATCACCATTCACTCTTGTTGGACCTCTGCGCCCCCCACCTTTAGCTACCACACTTTCTTTCTCATTCCCTTTCCTAGATCGACGTTGTTTCTAAACCATCATCCAAGGTTCATCCACACTGCTTCCTACAAGCTCCTTTTCTCCTTGAGTGCTATTTCCTTTATCACTAACTTCATTACGATCTGGTTCATGATTCAAAGCTTTCTCAGGGAAGCCCTCCTTATAGTGTCCATATTTCCCACAGTTGGTGCACAACATATGAAGTCATTCATAATCAATATTATAATTTTTATCCTTAATCATAAACATGGCAAGAAAAGGTTTCGAAAGATCCACTTCAATACAAATGTGAGCATACTTCCCCATCTCCTACCTCAATGTATTCTTGTCCACCTTCAATGTATTCACAATCTTGTTTCCAACATGTTTGAGGACCCTTGCATCATAGTATTCTATTGGCAAATATGAAACTCTTACCCACACAACAACTCAATGAAGGATGTCACGTTGCGGATGAAAGTTCGGACACCACTTCTTCACCGTAAGATAATGATCATATATGAACCATGGTTCATTCGTCAATGCTATGGCATGATCATGTTCATGAGAGAAAGTAACCCGATAATAATCATTACTGAAATCAATAATGTTAATTATTCCATTCTTCACCCACATTTGTTTCAACCTAGTCTCAAGCGCTTTATATATGACCCCATTCCCAATAATTTCACGATTACACCCCACTTCCAAGGTTTACAAATCCTCTTCTCCTCAGCTTTGGAAAGCACAAATATGGGACAAACATAGTTGCCTATTTTGTGATCCTCTACTCTTATTCCTTCCATATCATCCATATCAAATTCACCCTCTTCCTCCTTTTTATCTGAATCATACATATCATCCTCTTCACCCTCACTCCCCGCATCCCCATAACCATCTCCTTATATGATTTAGCAATATTACTTTTTTTCGCCTGATACTTCCTCTTCAACCCTAACATCCTCTGTATTCACCATCTCTCCATCACTTATGTCCTGGAATCTGTTATATTTGAAGTTCTGAGAACTTCTTCCCTTGTTATCATATGGAATGGCTGTAAACCCTAACTGAGGGTTAGAGTCCATCGCGTCTCTAGTCAATATGGGAATTGACTCGATTGATTTTATTAGATGCAAAGTATTATTAGTTACAGTAATTACTTAAATAGTTAATTAGACTAAATAGTTATTTTTATTGTCTAAATCTTATTCTACTCCTTCAGTTATAGTTTATATTAGAGCTCTTAAAATGGACTCGTTTATATGGGCCCGTCCGATAGACCAAAAAAGACATAGGGTTTAGACTTTAAAATTAGAGCTTATATTTTTCAGAGCTTTTTAATCCGATTCTAAAAAGTCTGTTACTTATCAGTGCTAGTTAGTGCGTATGGGCCGTAGATAGTCTGTTAAGTCCATATAGCTATAAATTTTTTAAAAAAAAAATTATATTGTCTTATTCTAAAATAAGACATTAACTTTTTTCACCTCACTAAATTTTATCTCTGTTATATTCAATCTTTCTCTTTAAAATCTTATACATTAATATAACTAACACTTTTCACCCGTATGCTATTAATTTCTATTACGTTAATATTCAAATATTATTTTATATAATTTAAATATATGTTGTATTTAACAAACACATTATATCATTCGTAAATGCTAATATAGTACTTAAAAAAGTATTATGTTTAAAATAATATAATTTTTAATTTCATTTATAATAAATATTATGGGATTTTATTTTAATTTTTTATTAAAAAAATCTGTTTAGACTCGGGGTAGTCCGAAATCTATCTATGATCGGGCTTGGGTAGTAATTTTCTAGCCCATATTACAACAAGTTTTTTAAGCTCTGCTCTAAAAAACACGATTTAGGACGACTAATCCATTTTAAATGCTCTAGTTTGAATGGAAGAAGAAATTTAAGGAGCGCAAAAGCTAAAAATTACGTATATATTTTAAACAGAGAAAAATAAAACAGAGCACTAGGAAGAGTCATGGCTAATTTTCCAGACATAAAAGCATTTTACCTTGTTGAGGAAACAAAATCCTTAGTCAAAGTATTAAAAACCACATCGTTTAATACAAAGCCAAACAATGGTTACATTCATGAAATGAATATTTTACAATTACTTGCAATACAAGTAAAAGTCCCAAGAATTTTCAAACAGAAAAGTGAGTAAAAAACAAACCACAACATGTGAAGTTAGATACATCATCACAATTACAAAACAATGCAGATTTATATATAACACAATCTAAATTTATTAAACGATTGAGGCATCACCAAGATCTGTCAATAAAACATACAAAACTCATTCAATATTCTAAACTTGAATAGAAATAAATTAGTTAAACAGAATAGTAAGTAGAAAAATGCTCACCTTTTCCAGGAACAATTATAACAGGTGCTGCTTTACAATGGTGAAAGCAGTACTCACCAACACTTCCTTGTAGCACACTGAAGGGGGAAAAAAAACCAGAAACATATGAATTATGATTCATAATAATGGATATTATTGCAGGGTTTGGAGAATGATAAAGGGAGAAAGAAAAGGAATGGAAATGAACAAATACCTTTGGAACAAGCTTCTGCCTCTGGTTCCTAGAACCACAGCTGCAGGTTTAGTCCTCTCTGCTTCCATACAAATTACTTTTCCTGGATCACCTTGCACAATCCGAGCTACTGTTTTTACCTGTTTTCAAATCATAATAATCATTTAGAGTTAAGCAGAATCAAATATTTGATTAGTCAAATTGATTATTCTAAACAAGTTCATAAATAGAAGGAAAAAATCATAGGCACTAACCATTGCAACTTCAAAAGCCTCAACAGCTAATTTCTCCATCAGCCCCTGCGTCAAGTCATACACAATCTGGTTCTTGACGTCTACAAAATATTTCATCAACAAAACAAACATATAAATTATTCAAAATTAAACAAAACAACAAGGTAAGAAACGAACCAGAAACAGCATGAACGAGGTGGATAGTATCAGCAAGTCTACATAGATGAATAAGAGCCCAATCAAAAGCATGTTTACTGTTCGGACCATGATCTATAGCTATAACTATATCTCTTCCTCGTCTTCTTTCTCCTGTTTCTCTTTCAAGCTCTGGTTCAGGTACTATTGGGATCAGAGATGGAAGCTTCACTTCTCTGTAGTTGTATTCTTCTACATCTTCCATCACTGTTTCCATTTTCACAATCAACTCTTTGCTTTGCCTTTTTCTCAAGTCTACTCGAATAGAATTGCTTTTTCAACAACAAAGTTTTTTTGGTTGGTGGCGTGTTTATCGTGTACAAATTGAAAACCTGTACCTCGTTCACCAATCATTGGTCAATGCGTTCAACTAGTGTTGATTCCTATTATTTTATTATTTCTTTTAAGTTGCGTTTTGTATTTTTTTTTCTCTTCTTGAAATTTTCTTTTTAAAGTATGGTAGAAAAGTTGGTGCGGTCATATAACTTGCAAGAGTCAAAATCTTCACTGCTTTCCAAGAAAGATATTTGGATTCAAAATCAAACCGATTTAATTGTAGATACATGATTATTTCACATCATAATTTTGATGTGGAATTGACGTGGAATACGTTGTCTTTTGAATTTTGAATGAGTTTTTTAATTGTGTATGTTGTAGAAGATAAAAAAGTAAGAGAGAGATAGAAATAAATACATACATACGTAGGCTTAAATAATCTTTTGATCTATATAAACTGATGACTAATATTTGTTGAGTTGACATAATTCTTATTTATTTATATTTCACATATGTTAAATGATAAACATTTCCAAAAATACTTCCAAGAGATTTCAATTCTGGAACAAGGAAGAGGATATTACTGCTTATACAATCAGAGCTGTTGATGATGCAAGGACCTTGAACAAAAGTCTGTACATTAGACCACAAGATAATGCTTTGTCTTTTAATGATCTGGTATCACTATGGGAGAAGAAGATCGGTAAAACTCTTGAAAGAATCTATGTTTCCGAGGAAGAGCTTCTCAAGCAAATTCAAGGTTAGTAATAGTAACTGTTAAAAGAATCTCACTTTAGATTAGATATGACCTAAAAACATGTTTGAATGTCTAATGCTTTTACACGCTTTCTTTAACTAAATGCATTGGATCATATATTATACATACCTTGATCCACGACTGTTTCTCACGTTACCAATAAGCTTCTTTGTTTGTTGATCCACGACTGCAACTGCACAGGTTTGGTTCTGCCATAGCATCTTCAAAGCATCTGCAACAGTTTGGCTCCCAAATACACATCTAGGATGTTCTTGGCCTTCAAATCTGCGGTAGGACAAAAAAGGGTCAGCGCCGGAACATAGTTCAAAAATAAATGCATGTAGTCAATGTACTAAAACGTAAGATTTTAAATACCGAAAATCTGATAAGTTCTTGTTTGCAACATTATCAAACCACTCGAGTTCGCTTGATTGAAGAAGTAGTTAGACTAGAGCATTCTAGCATAAAAGCAAACACAATACTCATTCCGAATCTATACATTTTCAAGAAGATGCATACATATGCTTCTTCAGTCAATAACTCGACAGATACTTGAGTAACAAAACCGATGGGTGCAGCATCAGGCAAAACTTGCAGTCTATGCTTAGAAAGAAGTAGCAATGCGTGCAGAATCGTGTCATTCAAGTGTACTGGGAAAAACGGTTCCCATAGGAATGACTTAGCCAACTCGCCAACCTAGTAACGAATAAATCAAAACTTTAGGTGCATTTTCATTCACAGTGTTTACTATTTTCTGATTGCAATTCAACACATGAACTATGGAAAACCTTGGTTTGGCCGATCTGAGGGATCTGGTCCAGGATGGAGAAAAGGTCATCATTCTCAATGTCTTTAAGGTGATTGTGACTGTCATTGGCATCTTACTTTATATTGGAATAATATAATAAGTGTGAACAAGTGAATAAATAGTCTCACATTAATTAGTTATGTGGAGACTTAAGCATATATAAGTGAGAGAACCCACTCACTTATCACCTTAAGGTTTTAGGTGGATAAATGGTGTGTCTCTCACAAAGATGTCTATTTTTACACTATGTATCAATACTCTTAGTAACTTCCCCAACAAATGGTATTAGAGCCTGATTTGAAAAAAGGACCAAAAAAGACTTTTATCGAAATGCGCTTCTTTTTTCTCATCTTTTGTTTGAATGGATTGTATGGTCTTTGGTTCTGGTTCTTCTTTTCACTAATAAATACAATTTTGTTTAGAGTATTTTTTTATATTTTTTTTACCCATCTCTCTCACCACCAACTTAGGTTTTTGTGATTCGTAAAAAATGACAGAACTTCTACGAGTCAATCTTCCACTAAACTCTGTTGAAAATCCATCAAAACTTATGATGAATTTCTACCAATCTCAAGATTGATATCACCATACAATGACAATGAAAAAAAGAAAAGAAACAAGACAATTAATTTTCTACAGAGTATCTCTCTGTCCACAAACTGTGCAAAACTTTATTATTCACTTTCAACTGCAAATTTTGTGAATAAATTGAATTGACTTTATTATAAAAAATAGCGGTTACTCTCTCTATTTATAAGTTTAGGTTAGCTTGCTCTCTAAGCCAATGCCCAAAACTATAAAAGCCCAAAATACCTATTTTAGAACTAAATAAAATCTATTCTATTTTAGATCTAAATCTAAAACAAATCCAAATCTAAAACCAAATCAAATCTGTGTGTAGCCTGCTTCAGTACACAAGCTCTTCGACTGGGCAATGGTTTCCATCGAGCAACCTGTTTCGATAACCTCTAACTCTTCGATACGCATATAGTTTCGACACTATAAATTACAATTTAACACATCATCTAATTCATTGTGTATAAACTATCTATATTCCAATATGCTACATGCTGTCAAATATAATGGAACCTCGTTTCGATGTGCTTGCTTCGACCATGAGCTACTGGGTTCTTCGCTAGATTGATAGCTGACATTTTGTTGATCTTCATGGTAATTATTCCATGATCTTTACCTGTTATCTCTTAGACCAAGTTCACCATCCATGTTGCTTGACATACACAAAGAGAAGAAGATATGTATTCTGCTTTGCATGATGATAATGTCACTATTGGTTTCTTTCTCGAATTACAAGCAACTGGTGCACCACCTAACATAAACACATATCCTGTTGTGGATTTTAGATCCTTAGCATCACTACACCAACTCGAATTAGTGTATCCCACTAACTTGTATTCTTTTCCCTTATCAACTGCAGGAAACAAAATACCATAGTCGATAGTTCCTTTGAGATACCTTAATATCCTCTTCGCTACTTCTAGGTGTGATATCATTGACTTATGCATGAATCTACTTATCATGCCTACACTGTATGCTAAGTCAGGCCTTGTGTGACAAAGTTATATTAGTGATCCAATAAGTCTTCTGTATTGGGTTGGATCGACATCATCTTCTTTTGTATCTTTCAACAGTTGCAGTCTTGGTTCTGCAGGTGTCTAAGTCGAGTTGCATTCTTCCATCTCAAATATCTTGAGAATTTCTCCTGCATATCTTCTTTGATGCATCATCAAACCTTTAATGCTCTTGTAGAATTCGATGCCAAGAAAATATGAAATGTCACCCAGATCAGACATTTCGAATTTCTTGCTGAGATCACCTTTGAAGTCTCCGATCTCCTTCTTGCAGCTACCTTTTATTAACAAGTCATCGACATAGAGACATAGTATAAGAAATTTACTATTTCTTCTTCTTACATATACTCCATATTCAATTGTGCACTTCACAAATTCCTTCTCCCTTAAGAAACCACGAATCTTCTTATTCCAAGCTCCTAGAGCTTGTTTCAATCCGTACAGGGCTTTATGCAGCCTGTACACCTTTCTCTCTTTGCCATGTTTCACAAACTCAACTAGTTGTTTAATATAAACTTCTTCATCTATTTAAGAATGCACACTTCACGTACATCTGACATATGTGCCAACTGTTCATTTATGTTATACCAACAACCAACCTAATTGTTTCGATTCTAGCCACATGTGCAAAAACTTCATCGAGGTCTATTCCTTGTTTCTGGAAAAATCCTTTCGCCATGAGCCTTGCTTTGTGTCGAGTTACTTCCCCTTTGGGATTCATCCACTTTTTATACCCACTTGACATCAATTGCTTTCTTGCCTTGAGGCAATTCGACAAGTGACCAAGTATTGTTGTCTTCAATGAACTTCACTTTTTCGTTCATTGCTTTCACCCACTTTGAATCCTTTAATGCTTCAGCTACATTGACTGGTTTGACATCTGCATAGAAAGTATAATGTACCAGCTCACATTCGTTATCAACCACATCATCTGATGTCACACAATCTTGCAACCTTGCAGGCATGTGTCTTGGTCTTTGAGGTCTTCTTGTACTTGGTTGATCTATAACTATTGGTTCCTCTTGTCGAACTTCTCTTTCGACTTGAGTTTCTGGTTCTTCAAGTAAGATTCTCACTGAACCTTTCTTGATATTTTCAGTCCAATCCCATTCTTTAAGCTCATCTATGATCGCGCCCATGTTGATCACAATCTGCTTGTTCACTGGGTCAAACAACTTGTAATCTCTTGTCGAATGATATTCAACTAGAGTCATTTGACTCGACTTGTCATCAAGTTTTCTTCTCAACTGATCAGACACATCTCTATGTGCTATAGATCCAAATACCTTCATATGACTCAAGCTAGGCTTCACACCAGACCAACATTCTTCTTGAGTAATTCCTTCTAGCTTCTTCGTAGAACATCTGTTCAAAATATATGTTGCAGTCGACACAACTTCATCCAAAACTCTTTAGGTAAATGCTTTCCTTTCAACATGCTTCTCACCATATTCATGATGGTTCGATTTTTCCTTTTTTCAGTTTCATTTTGTTGTGGAGTGTAGGCTGGCACCATCTCATGCATAATCCCTTCTTTTTCACATAATTTGTCGAAGTCTTTCGACACATGCTCTTCATCACCGCTAGTTTTTAAAACTTTGAGCTATCAACCACTTTGTATTTCGACCATAGACTTAAATTTTGCAAATACCTCGATCACTTTACTTTTCTTCTTGATCAGGTAAGTCCACAGTTTTCGACAGAAATCATCTATGAATTTAACAATTTATTTGTCATCTCCCATCGAATCCACCTGGATTGGTCCACATACATCTGAGTATATAACTTCAAGAATAGCCTTAGACTTTCTTCCTGCATCCTTGCTAAAGTTATTCTTGTGTTGCTTCACCTGCACACATTCCTCGGATACCTCGTTTGGAATGCCGATTTATGGAAATCCTGAAACTATATTTCTTCTCTTTAAATCTCTGATGTATCTGAAGTTGAGATGGACTAGTCGATAATTCCATATCCATTCATCTCTGCTAGATGAAGTTGAAAGACACTTGTTCTTTATCACATTAAGTTAAATCTTGAAGGTTCTATTTTGAGACATGGGAGCCTTTAAGATTAATCTTCCATTTGCATCAACGACTCTCATCATCTTGTCTTTGACCAACACTTTATAATTCTTTTAGACCAACTGCCCTAGAGTATTGTCATTTGTAAATTTTACTGTGTTCTTCGTTGAGGATTTTAAGTTGACAAACTAATCTTTCCTTCTAGACATGTGTGATGAGCATCCTGAATCCAAGTACCATTGATCCTTGAATCTATCTTCATCTCTTGTTGTGACCATCAACATCATCTCTTCTTCTTCTTCTTCATATTTTACAAACTTTGTATCACTTTCTTAATTATTTCGCTTTTCTGGACAATCACTAGAATAATGACCATAATTTTGACAGTAGAAACATTGAATGTGACTCTTATCAGGTTTTCGACCACCACTTCTTCCTCTATTTGCAACACCATCTCTTTGGTTGCCTTGGTATGGTCTTCTCTGATTTGACATGTTTCCTTCGTTCTAGTTTCCTCTACCAGTGGAATTGTTGTAGCTGCCTCTACCCCTGCCAAACCACTTTCCTTTGCCTTTGGTTTCTTTTACTGAATGTGTCTGCAAAGCCACACCACTATTCGAATTGCCTGCAGCTCTTTCAGTCATTCTTTATTCATGAGATTCAAGCGTCCCTTGAATCTCTTCCTTTATCAATTTCGAGAAGTCTTTCCCCTCTTCTATAGCCCCCACCACGTGATTAAACTTAGGAGCCAAAGATCTCAAGATCTTTGAAACAACAAATCTAGTTGTTAATGTTTCTCCACATACCCTAATTTTATTCACTAGTTTTGTAACCCTAGTGAAGAAATCAGATATGCTCTCACTATCTTTCATTTGAATCAATTCATACGTTCTCTTGTGAGTTTGTAACCTCACTTCTTTCACCTTTTCTGCACCACCAAAAGACTTCTCAAAAACCTCTCAAGCTTCTTTTGCAGATTCTGAATCACTCACTTTTTTGTGGACTCAAACATTGATGAATTATAAAGAGTGCTTTATAACTCAGCTTCTTCGATTCTCTGTGTTTCTTCTTTTCTTCTTCTGAAGCATTTTCTCCAAGCGCTTCTGTTGTACCCCAAAATTTGCCCTCCCATTTCCTCAACATTTTCTCATCACAAGACCTTTGAAGATCAAGATCCAGTTAGGGTTTCCTCTGCTCAAGACTCCTCCTTGCACTGTGGACTCAAATTAGGGTTTGTGTTTGCCCAAGGATGTTTTGACCTAAAATGCCTAAGATGACTTTCATGCTTCATATTGGACTCCCAAGCTTACCTATACCAAGTTCCAAGTCTTGATTCCAAATTTTGCCCAGTCAATTGGACAGTTGACCTAGAAATCAGCTGTATTGGGGAAAAAGTCAACTGTGGCCAATTAACAGTCAAACCTCATGAAATTTGATCCACATCAACATTATGAACTCATATGGACCATTTGATCAAGTTTGGATCACAATTCCACAAGAAATTTGATCAGATCACCAAAAGGGCAAAATGGTCATTTTTAGGGTTTTGACTGCACAAAGGCAATTTTTGACTGTTTGACCTAGCCAATGGCAAACCAAGTTCACATATGGACTCAAGGACTCAATGAAATGGTCTTGACACATTCATCAAGCTCAAAAGATCCCAAGTACACAAGATTGACAGTTGAATTTCCCAGTCAATTGATCAATTTTGACTGTATACTGAAAAGTCAAACTTTGACTTTTTGGTCAAAATCAAGAGTTAAGATTCATTTTTTATCAAAACTTGCCAAATCATGAAACTTGTTCACCAAGAAATCACAAAATGCAAATTAGGGTT